TAATTAAAAAATTACCAATAAAAACCTGTAAATAAAAAATTTGCTTCTTCAGTACCTTTTTACTAAAAATAGAAAAACAAATTTAATCACATATTATATTATCTAATAATAAGTCACAATTATTTTCTTTCTCCATTTAAATTTAAAATTTTTAAATTTCAGATGGACAAATATAAAAAATGAGGATTCAAGCTATTTTGATATATATATATATATATAGAAAAACAAATTTTATTATATATTATATTATATAATAATAAGTCATATACTATATTATCTAACATTTTTTTAAAAATTTAAGATAATATATATATATAATTGTCTTTTGTGCATTAAAGTATGTAAGAGGACAGAAATTAGCTGGATGGGGTTTTTACGAAAATGGAGAGAATTCGTTATTTTAGAGTGAGACATGCACAGTTCATTTTCCTTTTCCATTTCCATTTCCATTTCATGTTTTATTAGGAGTTAATTTGATAATCATGGTCTACGCAAGAGATTTGAAAAAATTGCAAGAGATTTGAGAATTTGGATCAAACAAAAATTCAGTTAAAAAAACGCAGACGTGGGGTTCGTCGGAATCGGCAGACTAGAGCGCACAAGAGCTCGCCGGAGTGACAGATCTACGCGCCGAAGCTTTGGGTTCGCCGGAAAACACAGAGGTGGGGTTCGTCGGAAAACGCAGAGCTAAGATAGTTCTTGAAAGAGAGAGGGGGGCAAGTTCACAGATCTGCTAGATTTTGTAGTTTGCAATTGCAGAGAGAGAGAGGGGGCAACTTCAGAATTGAGAACGAGAATAGAGATGGAGGTGGGTCTCGAACTTCTGATTCTTTTAGATTTTGTAGCTTCCAGTTGGAGAGAGAGAGGGCAAGTCAGAGTGTTTTTTCAGAAATTTGGGCAAGTTCACAGTTGAGAACGAGAATAGAGATGGAGGGGTTTTTACAATTTAGGCTGTTGTTCTTAGAATTCTTAAATATGTGTTCTATGAATTCCTGCACTTTGGGCTGTTGTTCTCCTTTCTACAGTGAATAGTGGGCCGGCTGAAATTTGGGAACACTTTGGAACATGATTTTTTTGTTCCGGAAATTGGCCCAAAAACTTAAATTGTTCTATCACTGTTGGACACAGTACAGCCCATACCAAACAAGTTGGTGTCCTCAATAGTGCCCATTTGCACTGTAGGGAAGGGCATAGAACAAGATGGAGCATCCCCCAAACAGGCCCTTAGAGTCATGCCTCCCACTGATTGTAAAAAATTCCTTAGGTCACGCCTCCACGGTCATACTTTGAGCCCTTGAAAATTAGCTATGAATCATCCATTTAGAAAAAAAGAAAAAGAAAAAATACAGGCGCGCACACGCATCTTAATGTTTAATGGAATGATTCTACCCCTTGTCTGTAAATACAAAATAAACATAGTGTCCATCATCCAATTTGCTGAGATAAGATTCGATACATTTAGATCTTCAATTTGTGTCAAAATTACATATGTATAAAACTATAATTAGATTTACAAGGTTGACCATAATTTTCAAATAAAAATAATAATAAAATAAAAATAAATAAATAAATAGTACAAACTTAATGATATTTGCCAAGTAAAATTAGATGTGACAGAAGCTCCAAAGCATCAATTATTCAACACACACATAAACATGGCCACATATATTAATCTCAGCTTCTTACCAACTATGTGAAAAGACATCGTTATGATAATGTGTAATTTCTGTCTGTTGAAGTTTAATAATGTGATCCATCACATCGGGAATCTAGAAATGTAGAAGGTCTCTGAAAATCATTACGTAGAAGTTTACTGAATTTTCTCTTAAAGTTTTGAAATAGTACCCTGTGTGTAAAAGTTATTTTATGAACAAATCAAGATTTAAAAGTGTCTTTGGATTCTCTAAGACAACCTTTTACTCATAATAAAGTGAATGCGTAAAGACTGGTTTAGCAAATGAAACCCTGTACTGTCTTCAACTCAATTTGAAGGGTTTTGAACAATTTTGTAATCATCCTACTACTTATTTGCAATTATATCTTGCCCTAGCGGCACGGTGACCACGTCAAATTTAGTAAAAGGAGTTATTTCTAAAGTAATGATAAAGACATATCTATATGATTCGTTAATACATTTAGCTAAACGGATCATTTTAATATGAATTTACTCAACACGTAAATAGATTGAGTAAAGCATGTCTAATTAAATTATTAATAGGTTGTCGATTAAACACGTGTTAATGAAAGGATGTTTGACGATCATTTTCATTTTGTGTTTTACTTTTATTTAAAATGGAAATAACATTTTTATATGAAATAAAATAAAATAAAATAAAAGACAATTGAAAAGGTCATTTGAAGTTTTAAAAACTTCAACTATTAGGTGGAATTAACACTCAACTTATATATACTCATTTATTTTTTCATTCGAATTTGATGTTAGACAAACTCTCCTTATTACACATGTAGTGTAAAGCATCGTCACTCCAAAATTAAACATGGGGCTTAGATTCTCTTTTAAGGCAAGAGACTATTTGGGAAAAAATACAAGAATGAAAACCTTTTTTTTTTCTGTCCACGCCAATGACGCCAGAAAAAGGCATCCACCGTCGTGGAAAGATCTTGTCCTCATTTGTCTCAAATCTTTCAATCACTATCCACCAACGGTCGTCTTCTCGAATTCAAATTGCGCATTGTAGCTAGAGAAAGTGTAAGTTACAAAAAGAACGATAGAGATAGATGATATTCGAGAGAGAGTTCCAGAGTAGAAGATTGTGTGTCATGTCTAGTCCTCCTTTTAGTTGGTCTATTTTTTTTATTTTTTATTTTTACTATTCCTCAATTTTCTTCTTTTATACTAATATTTCAGTTGTACATTCACTCTAAGAAATTAATTTTAATTAATTAGTTATTTTTTTATGAATGTATTATGTAACCGTTGAAAAATAGTTATCGCAAAGATATAACAATTATATCTAACAATTACTACTATACATGGTTCGAAATTTTTTTTTTGCTCATCATGAGCAAGTGATCATTTTCGTGTGTATATGCATGTATATGTATTATCATTATATATCTTTTCTACTTTCAAAAGTAAATTATTATTTTTCCTAACAAATATTTTTATGGTTAACTAAATACTCAAACATAATATATATATATATATATATATAAAATATAAAAAGTGTAAAAGTTAGATTAGTAGATGCAAAGAGTCCGAGACACTAACTCACTGGACTATCGAGCCATATGTCAGACACAATCACAAATATTTATTGTGAAACTTGAACTTCTCATATTTCTTTTAAGTGATGAGAGATTATAACAACTAAGCTAATGACACTATGTTTTTGTTAAAAAAAAAAAAAAGAGGAAAAAAGAGGAAAAAAAAAGAAGGTTGCTTAAAACTTTCATTTGGTCACGGAAATATATTGAAATATTTTATATGAGTGTGTAAATAAGCATATATATCTATTACCTTATTCCAATCACTAATTTTGCGTTTGGTGTGCTGGAAAATAATGGAATAGAATGTTCATTCTAAACATTATTTTGTTTGGTATGCAATTTAAAGTGGAAATACCCATTCCATTCGAATGAAAATCCATTCTTAAGAATGAAATTTTATTTAACAACTAAACTTATGGAATGACTATTTCATTTCCAAGTTAAAAAAAAAAAAAAATCAAGTTCCGAAAATACCCTTGTGTTCCAAGTTCAAAAATCACTACCACCACTGTCTTCAACCACAACTACCGTCACTTTTCACCCTCGCCACCTCCATTGCCTTCCACCTCCGTTACTCCATTGCCATCATTAATGTTGCCTTCAACCACCACACCGCTGTCGCCTCCACTGTTTTCCACCACCACCACTATCTTCTACGACCACCACCCCCACCACAACCACTGCCTCTTTTCACCCCGTCACATCCATTGCCTTCCACATAGTTATTGCTATTGCCAATATTGTTGTCGCCTTCAACGACTACGTACATCACCGCCGCTTCCACTGTTTTCCACCATCGCCACTTCCACCGTAGCCACCACCACCACCGACTTACACCATTGACACCTCCATTGCCTTCCCCCACTATCATCACCATTACCATCACCACTGTCGCTGCCATCACTACCATTACATTCCACCACCACCGTCGCTGCCTTCCACCACCACTGTCGCCCCCATCACCTTCCACCACCACCTCCATCGCCAGTACCACCTCAACTTCTACCACTACCACCATCGTTACCTCCAATTCCTTCTATCACTACCACCTACACCACTCATGCCTTCCACCACCACCACACTACTACCTTCCACCATCATCACTTACATCATTGACGGCTTCCATACCACCTTCCACCACCGCCACTACCACTGTCTTCCACCAACATCATTATTGCCTTCCGCCACCATCGCCGCCTTTTAACACCACCACTTACACCACTATTAATAGTTACCTCCACCATCATCGTCACCTCCATCTACCACCGGTGTCATTTATTTAAAAAATATATATTATTTTTAAAATTTAATTTATTTGTAGGTATTTTGAATAATTCAATTTGAAATTCATTCTATTCTAAATTTTAAATTGTTCAAACCAAACACTAAAATAATTATTATCATTTAATTTTTATATATTTTATATTTACAACCAAATAATAAAATGAGAATAAGCATTCTATTCCAATTCTTATTTCATTCCATTCCCGCAACATTACTGCTAATAAGTGATAAGTGAAAGTGATAAATAAAAACAAAGTCCGTCTCATCTTAAAGTGTTTAAATCTATGATAAATATGGATTAGTCTTTTTTAACCATTTTCAATATCTATATATATACATAACTACATTTGTATGTGAGGCGGGCAGAGTGGCACATTGTTAATTCTCGCTGAAAGGTAAGGCTAATTTAGTCAATGTAGAGAGGATAAAGTGGGTCGCAAATTTGAAACGAGTGGCCGTTTGAAGTTTCAGAACATCGAAGTTCCAAACAAACTTCAATGCAACAACAAATAAAAACAACAACTAATCTCATATTCAATTTCATCAACACGTACACTAGAGAGAGATAAATATCTAGAGTGAGAGAGAGGGAGAGATAGAGAGATGACAGGCATGGTTATGGTGACAAATTGTGGTGGTGGGAAGAGAACAAAAGGAGCAGCTGAAGATCAGCAAAACCAGCTCTCTCTGGTTGCACTCCTCTTGGCAGCTATCAGGAAATCCATGGTCTCTTGCCGTGTAGATCAAGGGGATGAAGTGATCTCCACCGTCCATCACATGGAAATCGGGTGGCCCACCAACGTTCAGCACGTCACTCATGTCACCTTCGATCGCTTCAATGGCTTTCTCGGTCTTCCTGTTGAGTTCGAAGTTGAGGTCCCCGGTAGAGTCCCTAGTGCCAGGTTTCTCAACCCCTCCTTTCTTCTCTTGGCTCCTCTTAAATTTCAATTTCTTCATCTGGGTTTTCTTAAAATCTTTCAAAATGCAATTTTTTTTTTTTTAAAAAAAATATATATAAATAAAATAAAAATTATTGATGTTTAAATGTGTGTGAGAGAGATCTTCATATAGGCTAGCTTAAGATTAGGTTTCTATTGGGTGCTCTTAAATCTCAAATTCTCCATCATCTGGGTTTTGTTAAAATGGTTTGTGTGTGTGTGTGTGTGTGTGTTTTGGGAGATGTCTAGAGATGTGTGAGAGAGAGAGCTTCATATAGGCTTTAGATTAGTTTATTGTTACTTTTATTTGTCCACTCTTTTTCTTTTAACTATTTTTTTGGTGTTATAATGTGCTATTGTTGTTAAAATCTTCATTTTACATCTTAATCTCATATTACCATGTCTACATACAACCGATCTGGGGTTTGACAGTAGTGGGTAGGTGTGACGGATGACAATAAGTTGTTCAAGATGGTTCATTTTGGGTTTCGTTTGCTAGAAGAAAAATTGAATTGAGAATTAAGTGTTTGAAAACCTTGTACCATGTTTGGTTTCTGAGAAAATGAGAAAATGGTAGAGAAAAGGGTAGGAGAAGTTTGGCATTTTGAATCTCAAGTATTTCAGTGTCTAGAAACCTCAAATCAGTCCTTATATAACTATGCTGTCAAGTCAAGATTTGATTATTTTCTTTTTTCACCCCAGACCACATACAATTAGACATTCATAATTTATTTTCTGTCATTTTATTAGTATTTTGGCCAACCAAAATGGAGGGATAGTGAAAATGAGCTTTAAAATAGTTACTTTAAGGTAATGGACATAAGATTAATAATTCGTGTGACCATATTTGAGTTTGGGAATGTCTTAGGATGTTAATGAATAATGATGTCTTATATGAGGTTTCTACTTTCTACTAGAACCCTACATAGTTACCCAGCAGATTGTTTTTCAAATCATAAAGGATATATAGCAGAATCAACTCATATTGAGGAACTTTTTATTTTTTTATTAGTCCATTGATACTTCTTCATCCTTTAATTTGTGTACAATACTAATCTGTGATACTCCATCCAATTTTGTAGTGCTAGCGTTTTCGGTGTCTCAGCGGAATCAATGCAGTTGTCTTATGATTCAAGGGGCAATAGTGTCCCTACAATTCTCTTGCTAATGCAGGAGAGGTTATACTCACAAGAGGGTCTAAAGGTACACTTGCCATATAAGAAGTTGTATGAAGGTTCTTAATTTGATCTTGAAGAATTTGATCTCTTAACTGAAGATATTCGAATGATTTTTGCAGGCAGAAGGAATTTTTCGTATAAACCCCGAGAACAGCCAAGAGGAGCATGTGAGGAACCAGCTGAACAGAGGCATTGTGCCCAACAACATTGATGTCCATTGCTTGGCAGGTCTAATCAAAGCCTGGTTCCGAGAGCTTCCCTCGGGAGTGTTAGATGGGCTTTCCCCGGAACAAGTTTTGGAATGCAACACGGAGGAGGGGTCCGTTGAACTAGTGAACCAACTTCAACCAACCGAGGCTGCATTGCTCAACTGGGCTATTGATCTAATGGCTGATGTTGTTGAGCAAGAGGAATCCAACAAAATGAATGCGAGAAATATAGCTATGGTTTTTGCTCCAAACATGACTCAGGTAAATCAGTAAACCTCTATTCTAAAAGCTCTCTTGTCAAATAGTACTGTTATTGATATGATTGAATAGATCAAAGCTTTTCCCTTTTTTTTGATCAGATGTCTGATCCATTGACGGCCCTGATGCATGCTGTTCAAGTCATGAATTTGCTCAAGACCCTGATCATGAAAACACTAAGAGAACGCGAAGAGACTGCAACAGGAGGATACTCACCTATGTCATCTCATTCTTCTGATCGGCAAACCAATGAAGAATTTGAGAGCGAGCAGGAGACCGATACCAGCTGTGAATTGATAGGGCCGATGTCAGATCATAATGATCATGACCTTTACAGCCATAACAATGAAGAAGATGAAGAGCCAATGTCAGATCATAATGATCATGACCTTTACAGCCACATGAATGAAGATGAAGAGCCGATGTCGGAACATAATGATCATGACCTTTACAGCCACAGCAGTGAAGATGAAGATGAAGATGAAAGTGAAGTCGTGTCATCAAGTGAGATAGAAGAATATTTCTTGAGGCAATTCGATGATAATGACAATGCAAAAAACAATATTCTGGAAGTTTCAGAAGGAGACTTGCTGAGAAAACATGTGAGCCCCACGAGTGACTCTACCTCAAATGGGGTGTCTGGTGTTTCTTTATCTGGTAGCGGAACTGGGAGCTCTTGTTTGAGCACAAGTGACGGAGAAGATGAACGAGGAAGTCCTATTGCTGTTGGTCGAAAGGAGGAACATATGATGGCGTCATCAAATGTACGCGAAGTCGCCAATGATGTGGGGGTAGACAAATTTGTGGAGTCTGCTATTCCTATGCCTTTGCTTGATGTTCAGTAGATCTGTCTGGGGTGTTATTTTTGGTATAGTTATGTTTGGATAAGTACTTCTTTGCAGATTTGTGAGTTTCCTCCATACCCATGATTGTGTCTGTAAATTAATAGTGTTTGATTGTTGGGAATTGGTCAAACAAGGGTATGTGAGTAGTTTGCTTGTGGTTGATTGTGAGTCATTGTTCAGCTCAAGGCTGAACTTTTGCTTGTTTTCTATGATTCACTGGCGAAGGAATTCTAACTTTGACCATTTTAGATTGAAATCAGTGTGTTGAGAAAAGGGGGAAAAAAAAAAAAGGCAAAATGAAGTATTTGAAACTACCTCCATTTCAGATTTGAATGAGTTGTTTTTGAAAAGTTCAGTTGAAAATGGCGAATGAATAGTGATTGATTTTCATACTATGATTTACAGAACAAGGTTGAAAAGCAATTTTTTATGGTTTTGAATTGCTACAGAGGAGGCTATTGCAGTATCAAACAATACTATATTTACAAGGAGGAAGCTGCAGCTTTACAGAATAGAGTTTTATATGTCTTGGAGTTGCATACAGCTTATCAATGATTTCTTAGAGGAATCTCCAAAGGGTAGAACAGTTGGTGTAGATGTGCGCCTGAGGGGGGATTATTCCTGTGAAAGGGGAGTTGATACCCAAGAAAAAGAAGAAGAAAAAAAAATCCTTAAAGATATGTTTGGGAGCACCGGGGCCTTGAATTTGAAATTGAATGAAATTTGGTTTAAATTCATAGTTTCCTCTTATGTTCTGTTTGGTAGGAGAGATGGAAAAATGGAATGGATGGAAGGGAGAGGGGAAGAGATTGACGCTGCATTCCCAAAGCCCTCACTTTTTTGTTTAGTTGCATGGAAGGGATAATGAAATGGATGTATGGAAGGGAATGAAAGTTTTTATAATTTTGTAGACAATTAAAGACTAAAAATGGAATTTTTATATTTATAGATTAGTTTTTCCATCTTTCCTTCCCCTCTTCCGCCCAATTTTGGGCGGACAGAAAAGCGAAGGTTAGGATAGCTTCTTTCATCCCTCCCCTCCCATCCTTCCTTCCAAGTTCTAACCAAACATCAACTGCTATAGTGCCAAGATCAGACACAATCTGAAAATTAAACTACTTGACAATCACTGTATCATTCTAATTACTGAAATTGGAAAAGCAACAGTAACATAACATCATTAACATGTTGCGTGCTTGTTTTCATCTGTTAGCTTTTAAGAAATGAAACGTCTTTACCAAACAAACCGAAAACAAGAATGATGAAACAGGAAATGTATTGGCGAAAAGTGGTTATTCACAATTCTTTAAACCCTAAAAAAAGGGCCATTACATGGGTGCTGAGAAGGACAGTGAAGATTGGTTCTCCCGCTAAGCAACTCCAACATTTACCACTATATATGAAAAAAGAAGAAGAAGAAGAAGAAGAAGAAGAGAGGTTAAAATTCAGGATGCAAGGCAAGTCTCCCAGAAATCCCTGTTCTTCTGCATCTCTGTATTTGAATCAACGCAAGCCCTCATTTTATTGAGTTGTCCTGCTACCGCCATTCCTGGCATTGTAAAGGGTGGCACCACCTTACTGTCACCAGTCCAATTTTGGTCAATGGCTTCCTCCTCCTCCTCATCACCATCATCATCATCATCATCATGATGGAGAGATCCCTGATCATCACTAAAATCATCAAACTCAGGAACAAGTACCGAGTCAGAAAAATCGCAGCTGCATGATTGTGCATCATCGTCTGCCACGTTCGTGTCCACTGCATCCATATTCAGATCAGAATCGGCCTCCGAATCACCAGCAGCCTCAAAGAGCAAGAAAGAAGACATGTCAACAAAATTCCTCCACTCCATTTCTTATCATTTCACATCAGAAAGAATTATCAGAATTCACAAGTTGAACATTGGTGTGAGGCCTTCCTATGCACATGTATATACACACACACACTCGCAAATAAAATATGAGGATATACAGAGATTTAAAGTAGAAAAAGAGTGACCTGAGCTGTCTTCTTTGACACTGCAGTGTTGTTGGGTAGCGTATTTTTAAATTCATCACATTGACTTTATTCCGTCTTATGAGGCATAGAGATCCAAAATCATACAAAAGTCATCTGCCTAACTTCTAGAAGGAATACAATATTGTTCATTGACTAAGCCTATTCTTCTAGAGGAAAGCTGGTTTCTTCAAAGGACCGCATTGCTAAATAAAACATTACTCTCCCTCTCTCCTTTCTTCAAGGAGTTCAATTGAACATCAAACCTATTCAATATTAAAGTCAACATTTCATTAATTTATTAATAAATAAAAAAATCCAACTTGAAAATATAATATGAAAAATCAACATAAGAGAATAAAGAAAGTCAATTATTCTTTTATTGGGTTGCCATGGAAATTAGATTGAAAAAAGAAAATATGAAGAAAAAAATAATAATAAAGTTCCATATTTTGCACAAGGGGAATATATTGCCTGCAGACACTATTTGACCTTTCAAGCGAGAAAGATTTGCCCACAAAAAAATAAGAAATAAAAATAAATAAATAAACTGCAGACACAAAATATGATGGAAAAGCAAGCATGCCATCCAGACAATTTATTCTTATCTCCACAGATGAGAAAATACAGACAAATGAGAGAGACCTTCAGTCAGATATCGTGACAACCACCTCGACATCAACTAGGGTACTATGAAACAATGAAAGGGCTATTCAAGCTAAAACTAGTCCAGAGCTTCATATCAAATAAATAAGGAAGAACACTCATACTTTAATTCCCACAATCACAAAGTATTAAGCTAAGGCATAGACAAGAAAATAATGATGTGAATCAAATGCTACTTCATTTTTTAACAATTAACACAGGAATCAAACTTCAACTTGAAGGGGAACAAAAGAAATAAAACGAAAAAGAATCAATTATAAATCAATCAGATTGTAGCCGTACTCGAGCATTTTGACGACAAAATAAAATGCAGAACAAATGGGGGCCGCCAGATTAAAAAAAACTCAGGTTGTCTAGCTTGATAAATTTTGTTCATGTGCTTGAACAGAAGTTGAAGAAACTGCAAAAAGAAAAGGATAAAAGGCGGAATTCCTTTTGGTAATAAAAGAAGCCACAAAGCAACTTATAAGCATGACTGCTACCTCAATAGACTAATAATAAGACATATATACAAATCTCTCATGTATAGGTCAATATGAACATAGAATAGATGGAATACAAGAATTACTATCAAAACAAACCAAACTGCTCAATCCAGCCTTTACTTCCATAAAATTTTCAGCTGAATCTGAATTCCAAGAAAACCTGAGAAATGAAAAGGTGAAAAATGAAGCCATACATTTTCAGATGTCGAGTTGCAATGGAAATAAAAAGAAGTCAAATACTCGTACAAAACTCTGTAGATTTATTCAATTCCTTGGGATCCAAACATCTAATATTATAGCTCCTTTGGTTTCTCAACAACTAATCAGAGTAAAACACTCACAGCCCTTAGACTTCATCATTTTCTTATTGACTAATTCCAAATTCCAGGCATTATTGGACATTACAAAGTCACAAGAGCCATGTGGCTGAGATCTTCAATTTTCCGAGTTCCAACTTTTGCCTTCAATTTGCCGTTTCTTCTTTATCATTCACAGGTTTGAGCAGAAAATGTTAATAACAAATTTGAAATTGGAAAAAGGCTGTCAAAATCTTTTCCCTTAGAGTGAAATAGGGGGAAAACAGCGCAAAGCCGAATTAGCCATACAAATTTGAACTAGAAAAATCATTCATTTGACTTAATATACTGCTCAATTCCCCTATGTGTCTCATTCTGAGCACACTACTGAGATGCCGATAACACTTCTTCCAAAAGGAGCTGGTCCAACAGGAAATGAAAAGGAAAGGGGAAAAAACTATAAAATCAAGGAGGCACAACCAGGTTATGAGTTCTGCTTTACCCTGGATAAAATTCAGCAAGAGCCTAGCTATAGTTTCAGCCTAGATTCTGAGCATGATAACTGCAAGCCTGCAACAGTAAATACAAGAAGGCACAACTGGTCATCCCTCGTACCATTCACTAGGGAACTTATCCAGTGTGCTTCATAAGAAGGCATGACTGGTCATCCTAATATAGTAGTCATTTATGAAGATGCTTGCAACTGGCACAACACTACAATGTCAGAACTGGCTAACAAGTTGGATCATGGCATCAGTCAGCACCTAATGAAGATATTCAATTTCCAATCCAGTTTCAGGAAAGATTTCAAGAACTCTGATGGAGACGGCAACATTACAAAATCTTTACACTCGGTGCTGACACAACATTATGATCTAAGGCTTAACTAAAAGTTCAGATAGGGTTCCAATTCATTACAAAGGAAAACAAAATCATTAAAATACCACAAATTGTCAAACCACCTTTGGAAACAAGCCACAGATATGGAACTGTAACCAACTTTATAGAGTGATTATGACAACTTGGCACAGAAGGTGGCTATTTAGTATCAGAAATTCAGAATCAACATGCAAGGAGGACCAAGTGCACCTCTCGTGGAAAGATAGATGACATTATAGAACCTAAAAGCATGGTGGGACCTGGGAGAAACCCAAGAAGATCTCTCTAATTTCTCAGTGTACCTAATCTGCACAACTATCAGGCACCTGCTACTTGTTAGACACCCTTTATTTTCAATATACATTACAAAAATTGGAAACAAGTCATAAAATTCAGATCCGAAAATACCGGGAAGCCTTCAACATACAGAAAACATGGCAAGTTCTTAAAGTAATGCTCTCGGAACTTTAATGTTTTAAAGTTATTACATGGATCAAAGTCTGTATGAAAATTCCCATGGTACCAAACCACCTTGGCTGCAAGACAAATATCTTCATCTCAAAAGATGCAAGCAAATCTAATCAAATATATGCAACTAAGGCATGTCAGTTCAATGAAGCCTTCGTCGTGTACCCTCTAATTCAACAGCCAATGGTATCAAGCAGACTGATAATACAAAAAAAGTAGTATACTATTACAACAATTTAAAATGACCAATACAATTGAAAGAAATGCAAGCTACCTGACTCGAAATAGTTTACAATCTGTATGGGCATCTGTGAGCTGAAAATTCCAGCCAGTGTAGGACCGGACTTTTTTATTTTTTATTTTTATAAGTGATCAGGCACAATGGACGTAAATCCCAAGAATCATTGACAACTCTTTCCAAAACCTTAATAACAGAATGAAAGTCACAACTTAGTTCAATCTAAGCATTATCATTATTTATAATAAACCTAGAGTTCCCAACTGGATCACCAGTATGAATACTAACATTTTCCCAGACATCGCATAATTTATAATAAACCTAGAGTTCCTAACTGGATCACCCAAATGTACCCAGTTGAAGCTTGTGTATGTGTGTATGTGTTTTATGGTTAGATTAGAAGAAGAGAAGAGGGAGGAGAGAAATCTGAGAGAAAAGAGGCATAGAGTCAAAACCCTACACCCTTCCCTTTTATATATCAAGAGGAGTAAAAGTACAATAATACCCCGACTTACAATAATAGCCTCTAACACTCCCCCTCAAGCTGGAGCATACAAATTAAACATGCCTAGCTTGAAGCATAACCGATGAAATGCACCACGAGCCAATGGCATTGTAAGAATATCACCTAGCTGATCGTTAGAGCAAATATATGGAGTAACAATCTGTTTTCGCATCAGCAAGTCACAAATAAAATGACAATCAACCTCGGTATGCTTGGTTCTCGTGAAAAACAGGATTGTAGCAATAAAGATAGCGGCTTGATTATCACAATGCATTGGCATAGGAGTAGGAACATCAGTACCCATTTCAAGAAGAAGAGAGCGAACCCATAACATTTCAGAGGCATTGTGAGCCATAGCACGATACTCAGATTCAGCACTGGAGAGAGCAACAACAGTCTGCTTTTTACTACGCCAAGTAATAAGGTTACCACCAACAAAGGTGCAATAACCAGATGTAGATTGTCGATCAGAGCGACTACCAACCCAGTCAGCATCACTAAACCCTGTTACAGAGAGGGAGGAAGAAGGTTTATACAACAAGCCAGTCCCGGTAGCACCCTCCAAAAAGCGCAAAATATGACAAACAGCCTCAAAGTGAGGTTGACGAGAAGCATGCATATATTGACTAATGACAGCGACAACATAAGTAATATCAACAGTAAATACTTACAAAAAATATATATCAACAGTAAGATAAATCAATTTTCCAACCAAACGTCTATATCGACCAACATCGGCAAACAACTCCCCCGTTCTCCATCAAGTTTAACCGAAGTATCCATAGGAGTATCAATCAGTCGAGCACCTACCATACCAGTCTTAGACAAAAGATCAAAAAAGTATTTCCATTGTGATAAAGCGATACCATGGCGAGAACTAGGGCTGCAAGTTGGGCTGGCCCAATCCAACCCAACCCAAACCCAACCTCAACCCGAATCGGGTTGGCTTGGGCCAACCCGAATTGTACTTAACGTGGGTTGGGTCATAACCCAAATCGAATATTTTCGGACGGGTTGGGTCGGGTTGACGGGTTAATTTTAAAAAATTTCCCAAATCGAATATTTTCGGACGGGTTGGGTCGGGTTAACGGGTTAATTTAAAAAAAAAAAAACAATTTTCCTCGGAAATTTATATATATATTATATATATTTAATTATATTATTATTAAAAATATATATATTTTTAGGGCAAATCATTTCAGCCTCCCCCAATCGCCTCCATCTCTATTCTCATTCTCTAAGTCTGAAATTGCTCTCTCTCTCTCTCTCTCTCTCTGCGCAACTACAAAATCAACAAGAATCAGAAGTTCAAAACCCATATATTTCAATTTATCTATCTGTCTGCTAGAATCAGAAGTTCAAAACCTAGTACCTATATCAAAACCCATATCGGCATATCATTTCAAATTGTTCAAAAAATCAAAACCCATTTCAGATTCAACTGCTCGTCGTCTTCGTCGCCGTCGTCGACGATGAATTGCTTCCAATTCTCGGAGACGAAAGCAATTCTTGGAGATGCCCAGAAAGCATATCAGCCACAGTTTGTGAAGATCGAGGAGCACAATTTCTGCATGAATCCCTCTCAGATCAAGTACAATTTAATCACCATGAATCCCTCTCAGATCAAGAACAGAAGAAGAAGAGACTCCCATGGCCATGGCGAGCGACAAAGATACGATGGAGAATTGTTTGGTTCTCCTCTGCATCGAAGTTGTGTCGTACTACAGAGAGAGAAAGAGAAAGAGGAGAGAGAAAAAAAAAAAAAAAAAAATTGGGTTTCGGGTTGAGCCCGAGCCCAACCCGAATGTGTCCGGGTTTTGAACATGAACCCGATTTGTGAATATAAGCCCCAATTTCAAAATTTCTGGGCTGGGCTTAGGTTGGGCTGGGTTAGCCCGCCCAAGTTAGAGCCCTAGCGAGAACGAGCAACTTCAATTCCAAGGAAATATCGAAGAGCATCCAAATCTTTAGTATGGAATTGTTGGCTCAAATGACGTTTCAACCCAGCAATACCCGTAGAATCACTCCTAGAGATGATAATATCATCAACATAGACAATCAAGACAACAATGCCAGCAGAAGAGCAACAAATAAAGACAGAACGATCAGAAGTAGAGCGCTGAAAACCAATGCGATAACCACAGCAACATATCTATCAAACTATGCACAAGGTGACTGCTTTAGGCCATAAAGAGCCTTTTGCAATCAACACATAAGGTGCTCACTACTAGGAACCGCATAACCAGGCGGTTAGTCCAAATATAGTAACTTTAACACTCCCCCTCAAGTTGGTACACACAAGTGTCCAACTTGAAACTAAATACGAAGTTGTCGAGAGTCTAAAACGAGTAGATCCGAGACGAGTTGATCCGGAGATCCGAGACGAATTGATCCGAAGATCCAAGATGAGTAGAGTATAGAGTAGGATATGACAAACCTGCTCTGATATCAAGTTGAAGCTTGTGTATGTGTGTTTTATGGTTAGATTAGAAGAAGAAGAAGAGAAGAGGGAGGAAAGAAATCTGAGAAAAGAGGCATATAGTCAAAACCCTACACCCTTCACATTTATATATCAAGATGAGTAAAAGTACAATAATACCCTGACTTACAACAATAGCCTCTAACATACCCTACCCTTTTCCCAGACATCACTTAAGCTATGAAAGATCACTTTGAAAAATGAACAGCTTCACTTCGTGATCTTGTAAAGGAGCATAATGAGGGAGATTGAATGTCAATTTAACCATGTAAGGGGATGAAGGCAATAAATAAAATAACATAAACTAGCGAATTTGGTACTAAGCTGGTGTGTTATTCGGTTGGCAAGTGCATGTAACATTGTTTTTACCTTGGCAAGTAACACACTCACACACCCACTTGTCCCTATGGGGACCTAAACCCTCAACCTTCTACTTTGGAAGGCAAGGAAGTACCACTAGGCTACAACCTTAGCATGTAACATTTAAATTGAGGTTAAAAGTTCAAGTATTTCCTCTTCAGCTTGATTAGCCTACTTATCATTTACCAGTTCAACAGAAAAACAAAGGTAGTATCTCTTGCTGATAAGCATGTATTTTGTTGAAAGATAATACATATAAATATTATTACGATTCAGTTAAAATTTCCAGGAAATTCCCCATCAACAATTGGTTATGACACTTTTCAACATCGCACTTGTTTCCAAACGTGTCGCAACCCTATTTGGACTCTTGCGTGAAAGTCCACCATTTTGAGCAACAGATGTGCTTTTATGTGAGAAACCATCAGTCACAAACACAAATATGTAGGCAGATGCACTAGAGTACTTTACTATTTCATGGCTCTCCCCTTCAGTCACAAACGGATATAAATGTATATAGCAATACAAACACAAATATGTAGGCAGATGCACCAGATATTGGGATCCATGGGTTATCGTATTTCTGTATCATCAAGCCAATGATTAATCGGGCTGAAGATACCATACCTTGTCCATTTGGAATTCCGAGTCAAAAAGATCAGTTCTTTCCTCCACTCTCCTTGGTGATGACAGCATCAACAAAGGATCAGAAATCCAAAGTTGGAATACAAATTGCAATCAAATGGATTATCCAAGGACCACATGATCTATCCTGAAATAATAAATGACAAAATGGTCAACTGGAAAAAAATTAACTTAGAATAAGTCCATTATTTTTATACATACCAAATTAAGCCCATGAGAGTAAGGCCACAAAGGGTTTAGACTCAACAAAGTTGCCTTAACTAGAAAAAATAAATTGCAACAAAGGGAAACACGATATGCAGAATCCTAGATTAATGAAAAATCACAATTTTCTTGGAACCTCATTCTTAAATATAAGGAATAAGACCTTTCCACGAGCATGTTAAAGAATTTTAGAAAAGTATGCATCAAGTTTTTGCGCTTTTGTCATACCCTTCTTTAGCGTTCTTGTGATCATCTTCTGTCAAAGATCCAAGATAGTTTAGATGTTGCTGCAAATGTGCCAACCATTTAAGTTCATTAAAGATAGGCACTAATTAATTTGCACTGCAAAGATATGCCTCCATACAAGTCAAGTTGGCTTGTGAATAATACATTGAATTCAATCAGTTTTAACACATCCTCTTAACATTAATTCTTACTTAGTTAACTTACTAAATCAGACTAAATTTGAAAAACTCTTGAACATTATCTCTAAATTAGTCAACTAATCTAAATCCGACCAAATATTGGAAAACACAATAATACGTGTCAAATTTGATGAGCCTTTGGATGATACGTATAAACTAAAGTTATTACCTTGTACAAGCTACCTCATACTAAGTCCTCGGAGGCTATCTGGGTAGTGTATATTATGTAGCCATAGCTATAATTGTCGGTTCAAGCCATTGCGCCCAACTTGAGATTGTATGCAAGCAATCCAATGTCTGACTTGAGGAAAAACAAGAACCATGTGTAATTCTTGTTAAAGTGAGTATGCATGTATTATGTTGCCCGACTTGAGGATGTACGCAAGCAATGTGATGCCCGACTTGAGGCTGTACGAAAGCAATCCGATGCTCGACTTGAGGATGTACGTGAGCAATGCGATGTTTGACTTGAGGTGTATGTGAGCAATACGATACTCAAACTTAAGGAAGAGTAAGAGTCAAGACAGCGTCAACAAGGGAGCAGAAATCCAAAGTTGGAATGCAAATCGCAATCAAATGGATTATCCACATGATCTATCCTGAAATAATAAATGACAAAAAGGTCAAAAGGGAAAAATAATAACTTGGAATAAGCCCATTATTTTTATACATATCAAATTAAGCCCATGGGAGTAAGGTCACAAAAGGGTTTAGATGCAACAAAGTTGCCTAAACTAGAAAAAAGAAATTGCAACAAAGGGAAACACGATATGCAGAATCCTGGATTAATGTATAATCAAAATTTCTTTTCTGAATAGTATGATTGAACAACCAAACCAGAAGATTAAGTAACAGGAAAGAAAGCCAGGCATCAAAATGGATTTTAGATGCATAATACCTGAGATTTACTGCACATATAAACATGTCTTCAACGGAAACAAACATGATGAACAAGCACTTCGCGTCTTCGCGGACCTGACTCTGTGTTTCAAAATGCCTCTTTTGGACATTACTTTGACAGGAAGAATGCATGCCATGCTCTTCAAAGTCTACAATCACGTCAAGGAACACAAAGAGAAGAAAGAGAGTGCAAAGAGTACTGAGCTTCACACAATGCTGAGGAGAGAAAGCACGTCATACTTACAAATTGTATCCAGCATAAGACAATTATAGTTCTCAACATCCATTTAATAACAAAAGAAGGATTTGGAAAATTTTCGAAAAACTATTGATGGTTGTTGTAATGGCAGAAACAGAAACAAAACTTTAAAAAAGGGGTAAACAATGGCTTGTCAGGGATATTTGTAAAGAAATATACCACTAAAAGATGTTATCGAGGAAAAATCAATGAATTAATAATCAATGTATAAATGAAATTACATGTTACATAAATTACAAATTACATTGGCATATAATCGACCAAGAATTACAAGTTTTTGGGCCTTCAATCCCTTCAGGTAGTAGGATGGAGTAGCACTATTGATTGTCTGATATCTGAAATCCACCCTACAATAGCTGATAGTGGAGCAAACTCCCAGATATACAGGTTGCGTGTTACCATATGTGGTAGACAATTCTGATTTGTTCATGGCTTACCTTCAAATCAATAAGGTTTATTTTGCTTGTTGTCTCTTTTAAGTTGAACCTTCAACTTCTTACCACCTAACTGGCAGCCATTCATCATATTAATTGCAGCTTGAGCAGACTGTGGTGAATCATAACTGACAAATCCTGCCAACAGAAGATGATTAGAGAGGCAACTTATAACAATAATTATACCAGTTTTGAAGTAAAAATGAGATGTCTATACCAAAACATTTGCTAACACCAGTGGCTTTGTCAACAAAGACCTTGGCACTCAAGACTCTACCAAATCCTTTGAAGGCATTTGCAAGCTCTTCATCACTGAATTCTTGAGGAATGTGATAAATAAACAAATTGGCGCCAGGTGGACCTAAGTTCAAAGCCAATTGTTAATAAACAGTAAAACAACCACAAAGAAGTTATGTAAAGTAATATCAGTAAAAACATAAACTGCTATATAATAAAATTTTAACAACCTTCAACCTGACCCCCAGAACTTCCACTGACACTTGAAGATGCTGCAGAGGGACTGGTAAGAGAAGCAGGTGGTACAGGACTAATTGAACCACTCAAAGGCCGGCTACTTATCATTCCCCCGGGATATGCCATAGAATACTGAACTCCTGGCACTGCTGAATAAGCAGAACCCACATAACTCGCAGGTGGCATAGCATAATTTCTTGGGGCCACACCAGCGGCAAGATCAGGTGTAACTCCACGTAAAGCATTTCCTTGGTTTACTGGTGGAATCATATTATGGAAAGCAGGTTGATTCTGCATAGGCAGGCGGTACTGCATGAGTCCATAAGGTCCCGGAGCCTATAAAGACAGTTATACGAGTTAATCAAATTGCACCCTCAAAAGCTAATAGTATCAAAACAAGATCAGGGGTGCAAAAGCCAAAAAAAAAAAAAAATTAATAAGCAGAGTGTGATGACTGAGGAATTCAGAGGTAAGGAAAGGATACTATGCTGTTGGAACATGACATAAAAGAAACATAAACTACTAAACACACGAAAACAAACCTGATACCCGTAACCATTGTATGGGGGAAAATAACCCATTGGCAAGGCTCCAAATAAAGATGGATGTTGTGTGGAGTCAGCATTTGACGCATGAGAAGCCTGAGATTGAGCTTTCTGAGCCCTGCGAGCCTGCCTTTCCTTTTCTGTATCTGCCCATTTGACAACTAAAGGAACAGTTGAACCCTAATACAGAAAAAGATAAGATAATAACTGACCGAAGCAATTCATCTGTACCACCACGAGGTCTTCAATCTATGTATAAATGAAATACGGAACAAATTCAAAATAAGGCAGCAAACAGAGGCTTGATATACTGAAAACACAACTTCTTCAGAACGAGGCAGAAAGCAAAACCTTGAGCATTTGAAACTATTCACCATGACGTCATGGATTTTGGGAAACTGCATTGAATATGCATAAACCCTTGAAAACATAATTGAAATATTTAGCATACAAGCACAATCAGGAATACATTATAACAATATTTAGTATAATCGTTCCTGCAGAACTATGACAACTTGCAGACATATGTTACAATAGCCAGAGGCATGTGAAAAAATGAAGAATTTCTACATTAACATTTTCTGATCCATTGAATGTACAGATAACAGAAATATCTTTGGTATCTGAGTCCAGAGGCATGTGAAAAAGATTTATCAGCAAAAGTCAGCTACTCTCCAAACCATAACTCAATGGACTCTTCTGGATAGCGGTGCAGCAGCAGCATGTAAACCATTTAAATGGCCATTTACCACATCCTGGAAACAAATTCCAAAGCCAATCGAATGCCCTACATGCTGCTGACTCACAGTCACAAGCAAAGGTCTAAAGACCCGGCTGATCCCGAGTGACTCAGGTGCAAGGCCCACCATAACGGTATCAACACATGCATACATAATCCTTATAATCCCCATATGTAGATGATTCATGCATATCAGCCATACTGTCCCAGTATTGGCCAATTCATCATTGTATAGCAAGAAGATTTGTGAGTAATTGGCTTTCATTAGATCCGCGTATCAAAATTACCAAACACTTTCCTTCCTCTCCATTGCTAAGATTTAGATAACAAAAATCAAAGATTTCAAAAAACAATTCAAGGCTTGACTATTTGGAACTTTTGGGTCACGTTTCTTCAATAAAAAAGGTATAACTTTTCATTTTCTCACAGTTGGTTATGAATGGCATGCAATCGTGATGTTAATTTCTCAAGAATGTAGTGTTCTGTAAATCTAGGTGCCATCATACACTTTTTTGTTGGATTATTGAATTTTTCTAGGTTTTTTATATTGTGTTTTTTTTTTGGAAGTAAACAAGATATATCAAATTTGAATGAATGTTTGAAGGACTATGATGTGCTTAATTAAAAAAAATTTGGAAGCAAGTCCAATGTTTGGATCTGCAAATTTTCCAAAAAAACAATTTGACAATTTTTTAATATTTCTATTCTTCAATTTTGTTTTTTTCTGAACTGAAAAGAAAATATATTTAAGAATGTCTACAGATCTGAGTATGTTAGACTACGAATAATGTGACAGCAAAACCCTGTTAGGAATTTCATCAAGACTAGTTAGATTTTCTTTGTATTTAAAATTCTCTTTTAAAGAAACATACATATAAAGATAAAATGAATGTTCACAAATGTAAAATATGTTGAGCATCATAGTGATGTCTAGCAACGGCATGTTAGGCTTGCTTTTCTTATTTAAACATAAAAATAAATAAATTCCATTTTCACCACATTGCTTATTCTGCACCATTTATCTATTTATTAAATTTTATTCAACAATTTGTTATACAATTTTTATATTAATTTTTTTGTAAATAACTGTCAAGATGCTTCATTTAGTGTTTTAGACAATTATGTCTCTATGATACAAAACGTCAGTATCTTGTATCCACCCATCACCATGAAAAATCCACAAAAGCAATTTATCATTGTAATGCAGACCACATGCTGGCCATGAGGCATAAGAGAAAAATCTTGAGTTAGTCTCAACCAAAGATATATGTAACAAAGGAGGCCCCACTTCATCTACCAGCTATCTTTGAAGAGTTGGATAAACCTTGAAACAGTGCCTCGAGGAGATCTTTCCCACAGATAAACCTTGAGAAGTTTGTGTCCATAGTTTGATAAAGTATTTTGTTATTAATAGATGATAGATCTATTTTATATTTTTAATTAAATCTATCTCAAGATTTATGGCGTATAGTTGTGTATCGCTTGATACAATCCAATATTCCATAATTGAGTATGTCTATCAAATTTTCTCATACATGAACCATGCAAGTGTTAAATGTTTATCACCCCACAACAACCAATATAAGATTCAATATAATTTCCCACAGATAAACCTTGAGAAGTTTGTGTCCATAGTTTGATAAAGTATTTTGTTATTAATAGATGACAGATCTATTTTATTTTTTGTCAAATTAAATCTATCTTAAGATTTACAGCGTATAGTTGTGTATCGCTTGATACAATTCAATATTCCATAATTGAGTACGTCTATCAAAATTTCTCATACATTAACCTATATAAGATTCAACATAATTTCAAAATATATAATATAGCATCAATATGCATGTTTCAAGATGAAAAGTCCATCAGATAAAAATAAACACGAACCTCCATTTTATGCTTCCCATTGAGTTCCTCTATGGCAGCAAGAGCTTGATCTTTTGTCTCATACTTCAGAAAAGCACAACCTGTAATTATGTAATAGATGAACAAGTAATAGAGTTCTCAAGATGAAGTCATGCTATATATTTCAGTAGCTTTAACATAAACAATAAAAGAATTCAAGACTAAAAATGCACCTTTGCTTGTTTGCTGAGAACCTCTCAGAATTTGCAAGTCTTTTATAGTTCCGTATTGAGAAAATAGTGCGGAAACTTCAGCATCAGAAACATTCTTTGGAAGCATACCAACAAAAAGTTTGTGCTCTGGATCACAGATCACAAAATATTATTTATCAAATGAAATGAAGGAATAACATAAGATGGAAAAATCAATGAGAAAATCAGCATTAGATAGAGAACAAAGACTGGACCACCACAGTTTACAAGAACCGTCTTAAGGATGAAATGTGTAATGAAAGGATGAAAATTATATTTCACCTAGCCTTTCCAACTCGCCATCTGCATACTTCACTTGCAATGGACCTGATGCCTGGATTGGACACAAAGAACATAATACATTTAAATCAGAAAGAGAAAACATGAGTCACACTGAAACAAAAGCATAGGAGATCTGTACAGAGTTGAAAATTTTCTCTTTATGAATAAAAACCGTAGGATAAAACAACTTTCATCCCTCACTCGAGTTCCTTCTTGATTAAGTTCAAGCGAAGAAAGAATCTTAGCTGGTGGGTGACCTACGTCAATACATCTCCTTAGGTTTATATAAACTTATATGAATCATGAGGTTCAGATAAATTGTACACAAGTAATTATCTGGCAATGGCCAGAACCTGACTGATACCCGGATGAAACTGACTTGGTGATGACCAATTCATTAATCATCATTCTCGGCAACCAGACACAACCTAAAGAGAATTGCCTTGCATGTAATTATGTTGTCAGTTTCGGGCACAACAATGTTATTGTGATCCTATCTCTGCCATTTTCTTTTTCCTTTTTTCTTTTTTCTTTTTTTGTAAGTGAACTGCTCATTCGCGTTCCTACAGTTTTTCTACTCATGTTTATGTAAAAACAATAAATCAAAATGATATATTAGATGAATGAAACTTGACTTCTAAATCCTTATTGATGATCAAGTACCATCGTTGCTTCTTCTGGTGATCCATGGTTGGCCAACATCATTCAATTGAGACCTTTTCTATTTCTCAAATCCCTTTCTTTATATCACCATGTTAAGGGGTTTTCTTCATTTTATTTTATTATTATTATTATTATTTGGCTGGGAACCAAATTTAATTATACTTGTTTTGACTTATCTAACTTATTTGTCAGCATGGTTTTGGCCATTTTCACATTTAATTAAGCCTTGCTTCAGCAATTCGCAAGTGATTGAAATAAATCCACTGTTGCTTTGATTCTATGCTCACAAGAATGAAGGAATACATATATTCCACTGAAAAGTAAATATGAGATGCATTTCACCAAACTTTGTTACATGTCCATCCTTCCTCCAACATCTTCCAATGTGTGGATGTCATCTTGTCAAATGATAACATTACTTTATTTTTCTCGGTAAGATATCATATTACTTTATCACCAACATCGTTGGTTCCAAAATTGTAATACCCCTATATTTTAGAGGAATTATTTAATTAAATTACTTGCCTTCGTGAGGGTTGTTACAAAAATAAAGTTGACATCTTATCTTTTTTTTTTTTTTGATAAGTAAAATTTATTAGAAAAGCGTTCAAAAGGGGAACGCGTCCCTAATACACAAGAACAAAAACCCTAAGGACCAATAGAATCCAGAAGGTCAAAAAAATTAGCAATCGAGGAGCAAGCACTTCCTCTAACATAACAAAAAAGAGAACGGAGAATATGAGATTTTAAATTAGCTATATTAGATTCCTTCCCTTCAAAATTTCTATTATTTCTCTCTCTCCAGATACACCACCAAACACAATGTGGGACAATCCTCCAAAAATACGCATGACCTTTAACTTGTCATCTTCTCCGTGTGTTGATTAATTGAAAAGAGTGTTCAGGCATCACCCACTGAACACCAAAAATACTGAAAATAAGATTCCAACAATCATACGCCACAGGACAATGCATAAGAATGTGATCCACGGACTCACCATCTGTTTTGCATAAGTAACACCAGTTCACAATGGTAATGTTCCATTGTAGGACCGTACAAGAGATGGAAAATCAGAAGGAAGTGAAGAGAGAAGGTATTGGAAAGGTATTTTTGGAAAGAAAGTTGTTCCCTCCTTTGTAAAACAGCAAAAGAGCCAAGTTGAGCTCGAGGTTGTTCAAGCTTGGCTCGTTCATTCATGTGCCCAAATCAAGCTTTAGTTTTTTTTACTTATTTTCTTAATTTTTTTATATTTTCATCATACTTGTTATTAATTAATTATCAATAAATAGGCATGAAACTTGTCAAAATTACAAACAAGAATAATTAATAACCTATAAGACATATGTTCACAAATGGAGCCAATACAAGCCTATGCAAATTATGTGTTTACAAGCCCATACAGGTTGCGTATTCACGAGTCTATCCTAGCACAGGTTGAGGAGCTCGGCTTGGCTCCTTTGTTTCATCTATAAATTCAAGTTGATCTTTAAAAAAGCCAAGCCCGAGTTGTTTATAAACAACTTGGTTCATTTGCAACTTTACTTCTTTTTGTTTGGTTGAGAAATAAATATGGAAATAAGTTTTAAAAGTTAAATTTTTTTTTTAGGAAAAAAAAAAAAAAAAAAAAAAAAGATTAACAAAAAAATGCTTAATTTTTACCAGCCTGCACTTACATATTTCAGCCCACTTATGATAGGAAATGATTTGGTGACTCAGAAGAGAATTATTGAAAAAAATTAAAATATGCAATCCAAACTAATCAAGAAAAAAAATAAAAATAAAAATAGGTACTATGAATTCCGTTGATTAGCAAAATCAAAGTATACATTCTTTCAATTTGCATCCAAGTGGTATCTCCTCCTCCTTACAAATGGAAGGTTGAAGATTCGGGTCCTCAGTGGGACAAATGGTGTGTGGTTTATAAACAAGAAAAAAAAAAATAGGGACAAAAATAATATTCGAGGCTCCCTTATCCTTTCCCTCCATCTCCACCCGCTTTTGAAAGAAGAACAACATTAAACTTAGAGATACAGAATGCCCTCCACTTACCTCCTTTTCCTTTTCATTGCCTCCTCATATTTTAACCAAACATAATATGATGTTTTCTTCCTTTACCCTTTCTTTTTTACCTTGCGAGTTACAACTCCCTTATTCCAAACTCAATGTTAAGTGTTAACCCTCCATTTAAACAAATTGCATCCATAATCATTTAGAAAAAACAATTTAGAAAACTTTTTGAAGCAAACATCTATTCTGGACAACCAAAAGAGGAAAGATGGACCATTAATTTGAAATTTAGAAGGGAACATCTACCCCTATTAGCTGTAAAAAAGACCATTGGGTTTCCCCTAGTTCCTCATTTATTTTCAAATTGTTACCAAAAATTCACAATTTTCCATATGGTTCATGCAAGCTGAATCTGGTTACAGTTTCTAATGCTATTACTACTCCACTTATTGTGATACAGGCATCTTCACAAATTATCCTTTCCTTTTAAGCATTCCTAACAAGTCACAAAGTTAGTCAAATAGCAACAAGTAATTGATCAGTGATCAATGCTTCCCTCTAAAGAAATTCTGTTTCTAAGACAAGTCCTCCGCATTCAAATGTTATGGCATCTATGGAACATCATGGTACTCTGGACAAATGAAAAAGCACGTACTTTCTTCTTGTGGTTTAAAGCAAACTAACTGACCGTTAATTTCTCAAGTTCAATGCCCATTTCAAGCCTCACCCTGAATGCAACTCACACACCATTCTATTATCCAGGTCCTTATAAATTCTATAATAGGAGTAGCAAGATGCTTAAGGAAAGAAAAAAAGGAAGTAACTTTATATAGAAAGTGTTTACGACGTCACTAGAACTTCTTCTCTTTCTTTTTTTTCTTTTTTTTTTTTTTTTCCTGTTTAAAGAAGACATTATTGGGACCTAGCGTACAAGTGTCTGTAGGTGAAAATTGCACACTGTCAGAAGAATTAATTGTCCAAATCAATTATTTAAATGACCATCATTATTGATAACAGAAGATCTTAGAGAACGCGAAAGTAGAAATATAAAAAATATGAAAGCACTATTAAGTACCCACCCCAGGAAGAGTTCTCTGATTATGACACGCATTTACTGCTTTGTCTGCTTCTTCCCTTGACGGACATATAAGAAAACAACACCCTGCAACAACAAGAACACCAAATTAGGGATTTCAAACCTCCCACATTCCAACCATATAAATCTCAAGCAAAATTAAAAAAAAAAAAACTTTAATCGCACATTGCGATCCAAATTGGACGGAGATTTGAAAATGCAGTAAAAGAATTGAGAGAGAAGAGAGAGAGGATTTGAAGAAGAGAGCGAATGCGAACCTCGTGAAGCTCGCGTGGTCTTGTCTTTGATGATGTTGACTTCGTCGACGAGAGCGAACTCTTCGAACATTGAGAGAAGCTGTGCTTCAGTCATGTGCTTTGGCACTTGACCTACGAACAGCTTCACACTCTCTTCACTGCGTTTTCTCGGTTTTTGCCCCTCCGCCATTAATGCCGACTCTCTCTCCTTCGAGTCTATGCCAACTCTGCTTCGATCTCTCCTTCTTTCTCTCTCTCCAATTTTCTCTCTCTTCCCTTGTTCTCTCTTTCTCTCTCTACTATGGGGGAAAATGGGGTCTTCTTTCTAGATGGCAAAGTTGGATCTTCCTAAATTTATTAAAAATTAAATCATGTTAGAGTTTACAAATGGCCCTAAATATTGTTGTATATACCAATATGCCTTTACAGTTGTGAGGGCTTGTTCTTGCCCAAAATCCAAGTGGCAAATTGGGGACTTATTGTAGTGGATTTGATAAAAGAAGCCATTTGGACTAAAGCAAATGACCTTTATACCCTTTTAATATTTTTAAATGCATAAAGAGTGAGAACCATGGATCTTCCTGAAATATAGTGTTGTGAAAGTCAATGAAGTTACACTCAGGATGTGTTGCAACTTATGAAGATAAGGGACAAATGAGAACATGGGGTTCATCCACTCAAGGTCTTGTTCCAATTGAGTCTAAGATTTGAAGAATATAAGCAATACATACATAGTATATGTATAAGTTGATACTCCAGCTGCAAATCTACCTGTAGAAATTTATAATGAAAGGCTGTTGTGAAAAATTAGTGATAATTTAAGTCACACAATTCTTTTAAACAGATGTCACTTTCGTATTTTGATGCGCTCTTACTCTCATGTTTTGCGTGCATTTTTGCTTTCATTCCCATTTTGTGTGATTTAAATTTTGCGTCTTTCTGTTCTCATTCTCGCTCTGTCTGACTTAAATTATTTTTTTCGCAGAATGTCTGACTTAAATTATTATGACAGTTTAAATGGACATGAGCTAACCCAACTGTTAAAACACTCTCTTTAGCTATATGATTGGCAAGTCATCAAAAATGAAGTTTGAACTTAAGGCCCAGTTTGGCATGCGTTTTATTTCTACTATATTTGTTTTTGGGCTGCTACAGTGTCAATTTTGACAACAAAAGCATGTTTGATGCGGCCTTATTTTATATTTTACACAGTGTTAAAATACTTCGTGAACAGTAACCCAAAATCAAAATACCAAAAAGTTATTTTTTCTTATTTTGACAACTGTTCATGACCCAAAACCATATTTTGCAGGTTTATGTTTCCGATATTTTTACAATAAAATATCGTTCACAAACATGTTTCTAATTTTTTTTCAAACCACTCCAATAACAAAAATACTATTTCTGTTTGAGTCTAAATAATGCACATGATTTGTTGAACGACAGTGTACATAATGTTTGGAAATTGTAAAAGTAACAACTTTCCATTTTAGTTTTATTCTCGTTACTGATAGATGGAACAAATTTGAATGAGAAACTACCTACTCCACTTTATGTCTATTGTTTGCTCATTGATGAGCTAGAGCCTTTAGGTATACGGTCTTATATCATTGCCTTGTCAAGCATGAAGAGCGTTTTTGATTGAAACAAAGGTCACTAACATGCCAGTATGTAAAAGTAACATCACATGGATTACGACCATTAAAATAAACATTTCTAACATGTGCATGCAAATGTGTTTTCTGATTCGTTGTTATATTTTATTCACTGCCTTTTGGAATCGAAATGGGCATTTATTCGAAACAATCCATAATTTATTCATTAAAATTTGTTATAAAAAGTGTGATCCTCTTTAATCAATGTTTTTAGTACAAATAAACATTTGGAATTATTTGTACAGATAACCATATTCAAGAGTACGAATTATTCTCACATTTGATAGCATGAACTTTTATTAATGTGTTTCATTGAGTCATTATGTATGCCTCGTGGTAATCCTAGTAGTCAGGCACGGACCCGACATGGGATTAATGGGGCACCCTCACTAAATTTTTTATATTTTCATTTTATAACTTAATTTTTTTAAAAATTTATAAAGATGCTCCCATTAAAATTACAATTTGTTCCCACTGGATTCTTTTTTTTTTTTTTTTTTTTTTTGCATTTTATATTTTAAATTTATAAGAATTTATGAAAATTCTCCCACTAAAATTACAATTCGGCCCCACTAATTTTTTTTTTTTGCATTTTATACTTTACATTTTTTAAAATTAATGAAAAAATCCAATTGAAATTATAAAAAATGGACCCACTATATAAGTTTGCCACCACAAATTAAAAGTCCTTCCCCTCTCTCAAAATTTTTTGAGTCACGGTTAAATAGTAGCGTGAGGCTATGCAGATGTTAGTAATCTTATCTCCAATGATGAGAATGTGTTTGTCGTTTCAAAAATTATAGCAAAACAACCTCACTTTGTTATTCAAATTATTTTCCGTTTTCAATCAATGCTAATTATGAACTTTGAAATTATTTTGCCCTATCAATTAAACTTTGAAGGCAAATAGTCCCAATTAATATAAGTCAGTACTTGAAACAGTTATTAAAAAAGGAAGAAAGATTCGATTGGATTTAATTCACCTTCGATTAATTGTGTATTATCTCAAAACACACAATGTCTAAAATCCTCCTTTTAATGAAAAAGAAAATGTAAATTTTCAGTCCCAAAAAAAGGTCAAAATTCATAACAAATTTGAACCATTAACTATTGATTACTGACTGCGAATTCATGAACGATTCTTGAATTTGAATCTAAAATCATGTTTCCGAAAATCCAAATTGATACATATAACTAATCAGTATTGATTTTTTTCAAAAAATAAAAAATCCAATTCATTGGCAAATGAAAATTCTACCTGCTTGAAAAAGTAGATGTAACAATTATGTAGGGTGAAAGTGTCAATTCACCAAAAAGGGTAATATGGTAGTTAACGTGAAAACCGAGTCCCAAATATAAGTATGCCACCTGTTTCCCTCTTTGCAATTTGCAAATTCCAGATGGGCACCTATCCTCACGTTGGTGAACAGGTGAATGAATCTAATGTTGGATAGAAGTACGTTTTTAAGGTTGTTAAGAAGAACCCCCAGTATTGAAAAATACTAGTTAACACACAAATAATTTATTACTAAATTTATATATATTTATTATAAATTATATTCAATTTGCTAATTTATGGATATATTTAATTTGGTTAAGAGTGTAATTAAGAAATTCGAGTATTATAAATGAGGACCGCCTATGTTTAACATTTTGATTAATACTATGAATGGCCGCACAAAAATGTTGAGACACAATTCAGCATTATATGGCTTTTGTCTCACCAAAATGTTTGAAAAATAGCAGATATCTTCATTATAATAGCTGGATCCTGGTTTAAGAAACTTCATAAAGTCAAACTGAAGGTGGTTGTAACTTGTACCGGTACCTTTAGCCAAGTCGAGCACACAACTTATATGTCATCGTCATGCCAGTATCAAGGTTAAGGTTGTCCCTTGCTGAATTGTCGAGTTCGGATCCTCTCTGGTATAACTAGGGATGGCAACGGGACGAGTTTGGAGCAGGTTTCCCTAAATTTTGCCCTGCCCTTTTTAATTTTTGTCAAGTCCATGCCGGCTCCAAGACCCTCGACTGGTTGGACTTTCATGTCCTGCCCTGTCCCGTTGGAAAATACTGTGCCCCCATGCCAGCCCCGCTAACAAATTTTTTCTCCCACTTCTTGGAACTTAAGCTCCTGCTATTTGAATGTGAAAAGCCTGGAAATAACACAACATAAATGAAATTATATATCCCAACAAAAATAAAAAAATAACACGCACATAACATAATTCGGAAAACATAATAAACAAAAATAAAAGTTTAATACAATCAAATTATAAGAAGTTCTAAGCTCCAACTTCCACCATAACCAAAACAAAAGCAAATTTAATACCAAGTTTACATATATATATATATATAATATAATTATATGCTTAGCAGGGCGGGGCGGGGCCCCTAGGATATGTATATTGAACCCTTACCCGTCCCGTGACCCGCGATGGGTACAAAATTTGTATCCATGCCCGTCCCAACGGTATAAAAAGTGTTCCCATAGTCGTTATTAATGGGGCAGGACGAGGTGGGGCTCCGGTGGGGCGGTAAAAATTGACATCTCTAGGTATAACACGTCATAGTCCTTTACACTTGTGATCGTGTCATCCGTGAGAATGATTCGATCTATCCTGCTTGACTGTTATAATACTGATGATCCTGATTTTTAACTTGTACAAATTAACTTGCTTACGCAATATTAACAAGCATGTGGCTTAGCGGTACAAGGTCCCTACTTTTCAAAGGAAAGTCAAAAATTCGAACATTGGTAGAAACAATGTGTGTGAGTACCAACTAGGAAAAAATGTCATGGTGTAATTGTTAAATGAAGTGTAAATATTCTTTACATATTCGATGTGGACACGCATCACGCAAAACTAAGAAATCCAAAAAATTAAATAGTTTGTTTTTTTTTTGTTAAGCATGACGTGGCATGAACAGGGAATAACTCATGTTTTACTGGGTGGTCATTTTGATATATATACTTACAAAATATTACTATTGCACGTCCCTGAAATTATTACTTGAGTTTTTGAGTCCTGGGCATGAACATGGTGGACGTGTTAGGAATATGGTGGGGGACATGGGTGGATAATTTTACAATTATTTTTTTGTAATGACAAGATTCTAATGCAGGTTTAAAACATATAAAGGGTAAATTAGAAAAATAATATAAAGTTTTTAAAAACAACACCACCACCTTATCTCATTCTAAGTTTTAAATTAGTAATTACATTTACTGTGGATAAATTGAACAAAAAAACAATTTATATATCTATGTATAATATATTTATATTATTATTCTTTTTGTTGTATCACTAGAGTGTCCTGTTTTTTTGAGAAATAAATCGTTATATCCACATATTGTACTATCTCTATTTATTTTTATAACCTGAACCTTTGTTATACAAACGCCCCTTTAATTTTTTTTTTTTTTTTTGGTAAAAATCTTATACATACTTGTCCACAAGATCTACCACAACTATTTTCTAAAATATATTGTCTTTTATCATCTTGGTACAGCAAAAAATTCTAAAGACTGATTATATTAAGGGAAAACTACATAAAGGTGACATTAAGACTTAAGAGCTTTAAATAACAAATCGATCAGTTTTTATAGTTAATTTTCTATTTTGATTGATTAAGCAAAATAATTACAAATACATCAATATTTATTAGGTCCAAATTATTTTCACATTTTTATTTCAAAATACCAAAATATCCTCCTTAAAATTTTATAATTTTAATATAATAAAATAGATAATTAAAAA